ATATGACTAATTTCATTCAAAAGTATAGGATTCATCGCTATTTACAGTGTTTTCGGCTGATACAATATGTTCACGAAGATGGCACATGAAGCATTCATGAAGATAAAACAGGTTAGGCGTAGATCTTGGGGGGGGCTACCATATATATATATATACATACATACATACATACATACATACATACATAAATATATATATATATACATGTACACACAGGGCTACTATAAGGAAGTTTAATGAGGAGGACATTGCAGCGGATATGGCCCTCGCACCTGGAAGGTCTGAAATCGTCGAAGAAGCTTCAGCAATCTTAGAACCGGGAAGAAGCAAAGCAGGAGGGTGCTCCAGGTCACGTGCGTGGTGGGGGAGATATTTATACCCAAGGCCAAGCGAATACATAAGGAAGGCAGCACAAACATATCAATCACCTGGGCTGCTGTCAAGGAACTTTAATTACGTTACTATCATAAGGAAGCCATACCCATAACATGCTACCATTTAACTTAAATCAAGTTCTTTAACAGCAGCCCAGTCACATTGTGCGCATCGCAGAAGAAGTGGGAGATGGTGGGCCAGGCCAGGAAACGAAAGCAAAGGTCGATAAGGAAGATGAGGTCGAATCCCAGGTCGCACAGAGACATGGGCACCATCCTGGGTCTCTTTCTGTTAGGGTTTAGGGTTTAAGGGTTTAGGGTTTAGGGTTTAAGGTTTTGGGTTTAGGATAATGGAAAAGAAAATGGAAACTACTATATTATGTATTACATTAGGGTTATATTAGGGTTATAATATCCTGGGTCTCTTTCTGTTATTGGGATAATACAGGGTAATATAGGGAGAATGGACAAGAAAATGAAAACTACCATTTAGGGTTATTAAGGGATTGTAGGGTAAATTGGGGAATACAAGGATAGTGGGAAAGAAAATGGAAACGACTATTTAGGGTTTAGGGCTTGGGGTTGCAAAACCCTAAACCCTGAACCCCTAAACCCTAAACCGCGGGTCTTCTTCATCCATGGCTTAGGGTTCTAATCATCTTGCAGACCTAGACTTACTCGAATAAACTGTCCGATGTTTGCATTCAGGGCTTTAGAGTTTAGGGTTTAGGGTTCCAAAATCCCTTCAACAACTACCCAGCATCATTGGCACCATATCCGCTTCTCCAATCTGCAAGGATTCGAAGAGGGGGAGCAACACCGAGAACACGATAAACCTAGGTCGCTGTCAAGGAATTTGATGTACGTTATCGCTTTTTAAAAAACGTATCATTACATACATATATACATAGATATACATATTCTCTTTACTTGATTTATTTGCAGGCATCCTATATGAGCCCATATCTCATCTTTTCCAGTGGATTCTCCGTTATGGTTCCTAAACCCTGAACCTTAAACCCTGAACCCTGAACCTTAAATCCTAAACCCGGAACCCTATCCCTTAAACCCCAAACCCTTTGGCAACTTAATCTAAACCCCTTAACAGCAACCCAGGAACATGTCCATAAAGATGCCATAGTACCAGGCTGCCTGCCATCTCTTTTTGAGTTTAGGGTTTAGGGTTTAAGGCTTTAGGGCTTTAGGGCTTACGGGCTTAGGGGTTTTGAGTTTTAGGGTCTGAGGCTTAGGGTGTAGGGCTGAAGGTACAGGATTGAGGGTTTACATTCAAAGCCCAATGGAAACAATCGGTCCGGCATGAGGCACATTTCAGGAAACCTGAGGTGGGGACAGCAGCACTACTCCGACAGAAAGGCGAGCTTCCCAAAGTCAACCAGCAGGATATGAAACCCTTCCCTGTTCCTGAAATCCCCAGAACCCCTGAGGCCTTAACACTGATTCCTCAACCACAAGAACTAGCAAATCCTAAGAAAAACCTCAATATGCCCACTAGTACGTTGTAAGGAGGGCAATCCTTAACCCCAACTCCCAGACCCTACCCCAAAAAGCCCTGGACAATGAAGACCTCAACCCTACCCCAAAAAGCCCTAGACAATAAACTTTCAAGGCTAATTGGGTATCTTCACCCCCAGGGTTCCTCCTACAAGCATCCCTAAATGCGTAAACCTTGCTGTAGGTACCACCCAGAGAGGGTGATGCGAGATTTTGGAAGCCCTAAATGAAATGTCTATGTTATGGACTCCTATGTACCCCTGCAGAACCCCTGTAAGCCCCTTGAAAGGGGCCGCGTGCACACCCAAAACCCGAAACCTCAAATCCTAATTCCTAAAACCCTAAACCCCTAAAGCCTAAACCCCTGAGCCCCTAAACCCCTAACCCCTAAACCCTAACCGCCCTTGAACTCCCAGGGCACCTTGGAGGAGCTGTCATCCTCCAGGATGGCCCACCTCACACAGACATGCGATATCTTAGGGATGTAGGGGTTATTCTGGGGTTGGAAAGGGTTTTGGGTTTTGGGTTGAGGATTTAGGATTTAGGAGATACTGTTGATACTTAAAATCCTGCATGACCTCAGTATACTATAGTACCATTATTCCCAAGGGTTAGGGTATTTAGGGTCATGCAGGATTTTTAGTATCCACCGTATCTAAGCATATATAGGAGTTATATGCGCTTAAAGTTGTGAGGCAAATTGAAAGAAAATGGGGAATGAAATGGAAACTGCGCTTACATAGTTTTTTTCCAGGGTTAGGATGTCCAACAAGTAGGATGCCCTTTGCAGGGTACCTGTACTAAGGACTCGAGCGAAATGAGGTCCATATTGTGTGCCTCATATTTTGGAAACCCCGATTTTCAAACTCTTCGAATACTAAGGATCACCAAATGTATACTTGTATTTGGTGGCACGTCCACTCGTGGACCCTGCGTTCGTGGGGTTTTTGAGCATGTGCAGCCGCCACCGTGTTCCAAGAGCATACGCTCACCAGATCATCATGCCGAAACCATAATAACGTTCGTGTTCTAAGAGCATACGCTCACCAGAGCATCCATGCCCTCTCTTTATGCTTCAAACCCCAAGTAACCCTTGGCAAGTGGTATTTCTACCTCTTCTACTCCTCCCGAAAGATTCGTTTTTTTCTACTTTCAAAATGTGCTTTTCGCTGTAGCGAAACCCTTAAAATCGCTCAAAATGTTGACCCGTCTCAGTGTTTTAGGCCCTCCCCAAAATAAGCCTCTAAACTGCAAATCTGCTTTTTGCAGATTTCAACTTCCCCAACCACTTTCCCTGGTCAAAAAACCCACAGTCCACGAACAGACGTGCCACCTTGTATTTCTCAGTACTCAAAAATGTTTATGCCTGCCCTAGCCACATCGCCCGCTTGAGCATGTTCCTCCGGTAGATCTTCCTGCCAACGGATACCGAGAGCACTTTGTCCATGCTGGAAGCCTCTGCTCTGCAACAACGACACACGGCTTTGGGTTTGAAGGTTTTCAGCTTCCTCCTTTGATTTGGTAAACGAACCTGCATTGACCATCGCTTTGACAAGGTTCGATATGTTCGGGACTTTGACTTAAGGCATAGTGATTACAAGCTCTCTCCTGTAACGATTTTGTCCACATAAATAGATAGCATTCCTGCTTTGAACCACGGACTGATGGACTCTGATGGACGCACCGGAGGGAGAACGAAGGGGAGTGAGCGAGTGGAGGGGAGGGAGGGAAGGAGAAGAGCCAAGCAACGGTGGAAAGGGAAGGAGGGGAGGGAGAGAATGAAAGAGAGTGGAGAGCAGGAAGGGGAGGGGCAAAAGGCTGTGTTCATTTGAGCAGTGAAGGTTTGGCTGTCAGATCAAAAGACAGCGGTACAATAGTGTTCTGAAAGGTTTGATAGGGGTTTGACGGTGAACGGTTGAGAATACTTGTGTAGTGTTTGTTGGGTACTGCCCCCCCTCACAAACAGTTGGACAGTAATTATGGTTATTATATAGCCCTTTATAGGACCCCTAATATAGACTGTTACTGGGGAAGGGCAGTACCCAATGTGTAGTTGGTGGCTAGACCCGCAACAATTGTGAGAAATCCCGGACCTGTCCTGCAGGCGTTACTGACCAAGGTGCCTGAATCCTAAACACTGACCCTAAACCCGAAACCCCCAAACCCCTAAACCATAAACCCTAAACCCTAAACGCTGACCGGGTAGCTTGTGGGCTCAAGCCTGATGTCTGGCAGCCGGGAAGTTGAAACCTTGGCACATGGCTCATGTAGGATCCCAAAATATTGGAATCGGGCCCGTGGGGGACATTCTGCTATGACGATGACCTATCTCAAGACTGTTTGGGGATTGATATAGGCAGCATTCAGTTTTCCAGTAAATGGAACCCTGAAGATAAGGGACCTCTGGTTATGAAAGAGGTAGTTCTGCAGGGCCTACAGTAATGTGGGGCTACACAAACATCAACCTAACCCAAACACACCGCTGAGAGATATAATCCCCTTCAGCAGATAGAATGTGGCTTTGGGTATATTATATTAAGCCCCCCATATACCCCATATTCTATCTACTTAAGGAGGACTATACACCTACAAGCCATCCACCTCACCTTCTGAACCTGGCACCGCAACTCTCCCAGCCCCAAAATTCCAACCTTAAATGGTAGGTTCCATTTTCTTTTCCGTTATCCCCATAGAGCCCTACGTATACCTCTATACTCCCTATTATTCTATAGTAGTTTCCATCTTCTTTTCCATTATCCCAATATAACCCCAATCTGACCCCTATATAAAGCAATCCCAGCAGATACCTGCGCTCTTTCCACAGTTCAGGGCTAAGGTTACCCCAATATGGACAATCAAATGAAAAAGAAAATTGAAAATTGAATGGAAACCCTAGGGGTTTAGGGCTAAGGGCGACTGGTACATCAGGTAACTAAACCCTAAACCCTAAACCCTAAACCCCTTATGCTCTCAGCTTCTCGACTTGAAGGTGAACCACACATTTGTTGACCCCTCCTGCACAGACCATAGCCTTCGGCCGGCATGTGAATTTCGGGGAGGCTGACAGTATCCCCCAAACCCCATACATTGGGTACTGCCCCCCCCACTAGTAACAGTCTATATTAGAGGTCCTACTAAGGGCTATATATAACCATATTATAGTTATTATCCAACTGTTACTGAGGGGGGGGCAGTACCCAACCTATACGGCTCCCAAACCTCCAAGACCCAATATATAATGAAGCCAGCCGAATCCTGAGGGCCCCCAACCCCTAAAGAAAATGGAAACTCCTATGGTATTTGGGTTATATCCCTAATTAACCGTGTCCACTTTATTTTCCATCATCCCAATACAAGCCCAATAAAGCCCTATATATCCCCTATATAACCCATTATAGAAGTCTCCATTCCATTTTCCATTATCCCAATATAACCCTAATATATACCCCTATAATCCCGTTTATTCTAGAGTAGTTTCCATTTTCTTATCCATTATCCCAACATAACCCTAATACATACCTCTGTAATCCCCATTATTCTATAGTATCCATTTTCTTTTCCATTATTCCAATATAAACCTAATATTTAATAAGAATCCTGCAGCCATGGAGCGCAGACAGGGAGGTGGTCACCCCCTGCAAGCCTGAGGACTCCGCTTGGATGGGCTCCTCCTCCTTGGAGCCCTCCATGGATGGCACGGTCTGGAAGAGTTATACCAATAAGAATGCTAATAGTAACAATAGTAACAATAATGATAATTGTAC